CTCGTCAGGGCCACGGTGACCCCGCAGCTGCCCAGCAGGAACCCGATCTGCTGGCTGCCCGCGTCCTGCGAGGGGAACAGCGGGAGGGGTGAGAGCCCGCCTCGCGGCTCTCGTGCCCGCAAAACGCCGCCGGGGCTTGGGTGCCTGGCAGCGGACTAATAACCGCCCCCTGCCCCTTTTCTCTGCCTGAGCAAACCGCGACTCAGGGCACGGACTCTGGGCTCTGCTTGCCCGGCCTCAGTTTTCCCCATCTGTAAAATGGGTGCAAGGCTGGGAGGGGCGAGCAAGACGAGCGTTCGGGAAAGCACTCAGGGGTCTCGTCAGAAGGTTGCCGTCGTCTCCTCCCAACCCTACAAGGCTGTGAGACGGGCTCACCGTGTGGAGGGGGGAGGGCCGAGCAAGCACTCCACCTAGACCCGCGTCCGCAAGGTCTCACGCAGTCCGCCGGGCCCGCCGCCTCCCAGGCCACACCCGGGGCCCGGAGAGCGAGCTCGTTACCTTTCTCGTGAGCGGCACTTCGATGGGCACGGGCACCACTTCCGCCAGCAGGCAGCCGTAGAAGGCCACCATGAAGGCCGCGGGGTCGTTGTTCGGGAACACCAGTGCCACCTGGAGGGACGGCCAGACAGCGGGGTTAAAACTCTAAGACAGAAGGGATGCTGGAACGAAAGTCGGGGGCTCTACGTAAGCATGCATTTCAGCAAGACCGGGTTTAATAAGTATCATATTGCTGCTTCTTTAGTTTGTGTGAGAGACAAACATTAACAACGGTCATCTGCAAAAAATGAACACTTTTATCGCCCTGTAATTTGCTTTAAGAAAGAGAAGTTTGTACTTATAGCACTTCCATTAAGTTTTCCTTTAATATTTGAATCAGTCACAAATCCCATGTTATCGGTGACTCCATAGTGATTCCAGCGCAACAGAATACAAATACACAGACGTTTAACTTTCATAAACCCGCACGGCTTCCTTTCGTTTAATCCTCTATGTATTCCTTTGGTATTTCACTGTACCTAATGATTCACATAGCAGAACGGGCATCAGCAAATCAGGAGCTGCAAGCCCACACTCCTAGCTGAGGCCTCTCCCACTGAACTGATTCCCATCTTCTTCCTGACTCTCCTTCCAAGGCTCCTCCTATACCCAGCCCTGCTGTCCAAGTGACTCATATACCCATAAGTACTGTCCAGGGGAATCTTGTATTCCTAGTCCTGCTGTCCAAGTGAATCTCCTATACCCAGCACTACTGTCCAAGTGAATCTCCTATACCCAGCACTACTGTCCAAGTGAATCTCCTATACCCAGCACTACTGTCCAAGTGAATCTCCCATACCCAGCACTACTGTCCAAGTGAATCTCCTATACCCAGCACTACTGTACAAGTGAATCTAGTATACCCAGCCCTACTATCCAAGTGACTCATATACCCATAAGTACTGTCCAGGGGAATCTTGTATTCCCAGCCCTGCTGTCCAAGTGAATATCCTATACCCAGCACTACTGTCCAAGTGAGTCTTGTACACTCAAGTACTACCATCCAAGTAAATAGCTTCAGCTCCTTTCTACACCATTTCCTGGTACCTGACCAACAGCTACAGGCTCACTTTTTCTCCCTGAGAAGCCTTCTCAGATTCTAGATGCTCCTTAAAATGAAAAATATCTATTTTTCCTGAAAAATTCAGCTGTATCTCTTACTACCTCTTCTTATGGACCTTTATCACTTCCTAATTTATATAAAAGGCAATTATCAATGTGTCTTTACAGTGTTTCAACATTACAAGCTTTTTAAAGGCAGGTTTCACGTGTGATGTGTCTTTTTACCTGCCACAGCTCCTACTACCACCTCTTAAACCATTATTCAGCTAAGGCATTATCAATGCCTTTTCCAAAGCCTTAAGAAGATACCGTGCATTAGTTCAGTCATCCACAGGAGAAGTGTAATTTTTGTGCTGAGGCATGAGTGATTATTCTGGGGAAAATAGCACTTACCCTGTCTCCAGGCCGTACCATAGGCTCTTGCTTTGTACCTAATTTGTGCAGAATGTTGTAAGCAACCTTCATGCTTCTTGTCCACAGTTTGCCTGCCAATACGGATGACAAAGACACTAAGTTGGATTATGCTACATACGCAATTTCAGTTACGCAAATACGCGCACATTAAACGGTGTATATAGAGCATGACATCTCCAAATGAAAGTCCAACGTGTGCACCTCTTTGGTGTCTGGTGTGTGTGGCCTGCAACTTACTCTACTAACTGGGGCAGGAGCAGAAACTGGACATAAAGCCGGAGCGTAGTGGGGGTTTTTAACACGCTAACCGCCACGTGACTTGTACTTAACTCACGATAGTTCTGAGCCTGAGGCCCGTGAAGCCCAGGTAACTCACACGCCTCTTTACCATGAAAGCCACTTTAACTGTTTTTCAAGGTGCACATAACTCATGCACAGAAAATAAAAAGTAACCAATTTTTCATTAAATTAGAAGGGGTCACTAGAACCTGCACGTTTCACATCCCTGCCTCGTTCACGGTAGACGCGAACTCGACATCATCTGGGCGGCAGTTGAACAGTCTGAGACGGAATAAAAACAACTTTAAAACCGAAAATGGATTCTTGAATCCACACAAAGGCCTTTACACCTCAGGCTCAGAGACTTCAGCTGTTAGAGCTTTTTAGAGGAAGTCAAGGCCCGTCATAAGTTACGTTACTGCAGCAACAGTACAATAAAGTGAAAAGCAGTTTTAACTGCTTTCTGTTTCAATGCAATCACCATTTTAATCCTTTTTCTATTTTAAATATAAAACTAAATCAGATTTTTTTGTTTACAACATGTTTTTTTTTTTTTAAATATACAGCAGGAAACTTTATTTTACACTTCTAAAAGATATTTCTCCATGCCTGCATGATATTGAATAAATCAAAACCATCATACATTCCCCACAAATATTTTTTTTTTTTTTTTTTTGAAACAGAGTCTCGCTTTGTTGCCCAGGCTAGAGGGAGTGCGTGGCGTCAGCCTAGCTCAGCAGCAACCTCAAACTCCTGGGCTCAATCCTTCTGCTCAGCCCCAAGTAGCTGGGACTACAGGCATGCACCACCATGCCCGCTAATTTTGTCTATTATATTAGTTGGCAATTAATTTCTTTCTATTTATAGTAGAACGCAGGTCTCACTCTTGCTCAGGCTGGTCTCGAACTCCTGACCTCGAGCAATCCGCCCGCCTTGGCCTCCCAGAGAGCTAGGATTACAGGCGTGAGCCACCACACCTGGCTCCCTACAACATATTTTGAATAAAAAAAAAATATATATATATCCTGAGTTTATTCCATGCAACCTAATATCATGGAATAGCCACACGCCAAATCAGTGCGATTACTATCTACTGCCACCAGGTTATGACCAAACCTTGTCACTCCTATATAGAAAAAACTCGTAAGAGGAATCAGAGCCACAAGGGGAACGTCTTTGGCCGCTGATATGGAGGTTGGTATAGCATTGTTAGGACGCGTTAGTCCCAGCTACTTGTGCGAGCCGCTGAGGGGTCAGACACACAGATGGACGGCGCCTCAGG